CCTGATCTCGGTTATATTTTTGTTTTTTGCTAAGTGTGCACATACTTTTGAAACAAAGAAAAAAATTTCTTTAGTAAAAAATTATGTTAGCAGCTACGATGTTCTCTGAGAATCAGTGTTCGTCGGTTATCGCACACAAGGAATTGAATGGTCAAGGCCACTGGTTACAGAAAGCGATAGCATTCCCAAAATAACAAAATGTTGGGTGTGCACATACTTTTGAAACACACTGTAGTTCCAATTTCTTTTTTTACTGGACACTAAGAATGTCTTTCTCCATTTTCGCTAAGTTTTTCATTCGCTTCAGCTCAATGAAGAATTCAGTCTCAAAAAATCGAAAAATTCTCGGAGTTTTATGTATAAATATATACATATATGTACACATATATACAGGGTGCGCACAGTGTTACATGAAGGCGCAGTTTTCTTGTTAGATGGATGTTAGGGGGAAGGATGTACCTACAATTCTATTACGTTTATGATATACTATGACTCACATATATGCTTTGTCTTTCAATTCGTCAACCTTCGAGAGAAAAAGGGAAGCCGCGCCCTCATTAAGGACTGCTTCCTCTCTGCGCACCTCTGTTGAATCCTTTTTCGGATTTTCTCGCCGTTTCGATTTTTTACACTACCCTGCATTGAAAGCGAAGAGCGGACAGGTCAAATACAGTCCTGTCGCTTTTAGCGGTTATGCCTTTTTTCCTGCAGATAGTTATTAGGAAGCGCTCGCGTTTAGAAACCTGCTCCGCCATGAGGAAAACGGCGGCCGAGTTGAATTAATTAGCTATTCCGATAAGAATAGTGTCGCCGAGCAAATACAGCTTTATCCGATCAACTTTTGAGAGCTCCGTAAGCTTTTTGACGGGAAATTCGAAAATAACAATGTAGTGCCCTTTCGTGCAGAATGCGCTTCGATCCACTTTCCATTAACAAAAAGGAAACCAGGAGGCGGGGGAACGTTCGTTCTCAGTGTACACGTGTGCCATTGAGGAAGGCCAGATTGTTTCTCATAGCCATTTCCTTCTTTCGTGTTTTGAGCTGGAATCTAAGTCACCAGTTTAATGCCGCTTACTTTGGCGAGAAAGGTACCGAACTTAATCAGAACTTTCCAATGAAGAACATCTTTACAGAGTGAATGCTGCTGAGGGTCGAAGGTTACTCAAAGGATACGATTTGTACTCTCGGCTTACCTGATGACAAATGGAGGAAGATTAGTATTGTTGTTGAGAAAATGTTCCAACCTCATCCCTGCATAATCCCCCGACCGTAATCTATCGGGCCACCTGGTATGGTCTGCACTGAAGGGGGTAGCCTGGGCTTCAAAGCACGCATCTGCTGCTGCTGTGAAATACTTAGAGAAACCTAAGACTAGAAATCCTCAAGTAACTGCGTGCCTTCATGTTGAACACCCTAGGCGTCGGTGAGTTATACTTGGTGTAGGAGACGGTTATATGAACCGTACGCTCGATTTGTCCATGCGTTGCATTGTAGTTTTTTCCATGAATTCAATATGAACGGTGGCTTCTACATAACAGTTATTTTGCTAACATATTTAGGCACCAGTCAGATTGTACTACTCATAGAATTTCTTGATAAATGATGTTAGGAATCAGTCTTCCATCCTAAGTTCGGCACAAAACGTGAGGCTAAACCCAAAGCGCTATCCACGCATATTCAATAATAAAACGCGTTTGTGGCTATGACTGTAAGTCTCGATCTGATGCTCTCAACAGTGACCATCAATTAACCCATTACCTGCATACCGTGCAGTACTTGTACTGGCTGGCGCATGTATCTGGCGCTTTCTTCATGATCGACGCGGCGACGTGACTGGGCATGCGTGCAGCACGCGGCCACACAGAGCGGCCTTCTGAGCAAATCGCAAAGTATTGCTGTTCGAAGTTTATTCCAACTCGAGAGTGATTTTGGACCAAAACGCGGGCACGCAGAGGCAAAGGGGCGTGCTGCACTATGCGCAGCAGGCGATACGCAATAGGTTAATGATCTTATTATTCCTTTCTATTATCCCATCAAGGCGGAGGTGGTGTAGTGGCAAGTGGCGCACTATATCACACGCACGGTCAGGGGTTCGAATCCCGGATCGATGCCCGCCTAGGCCAACCAAGCCTTCCATCCCTCCGGGGTCGGTGAATTGGTACCAGACTCGTCTGGGAGGATAAATGCACTGACTTGTACATCGGCTGGCCACCGCAAGTCATTGTATGGGCCACATATGCACTCATTACGCCACTACGATTCTGAATGGAAGTCGAGTGCGGGGGCGCATCCCTCAGACGGGATTGATTAACGCCAAAAACTTTATCCTTTATCCTTTATTATCCCATCAATCGGATCGCTCAGCTAGCGCCGGGCTCTCCTCCTTGTGTCAAACACCCTATCCCGAGAAATGTTGAAATGAAGGAATCTTTTTCCCCTTTCTCAAAGTTTATATCCGCTGTTTAGTTGAGTGAGAGTATAAGACTGAAACAGAGCTCGAATAGATTATGTCGTCGTAACCATCACATAAGCTTTTTTTTATGAAAAAGACATCATCTTAAGTCAAGACATCAAATTCATCTCGAAGATATGTCCCGATCATGGATTAACTGACTGACAATTAAAGTTTNCTCAAAGTTTATATCCGCTGTTTAGTTGAGTGAGAGTATAAGACTGAAACAGAGCTCGAATAGATTATGTCGTCGTAACCATCACATAAGCTTTTTTTTTATGAAAAAGACATCATCTTAAGTCAAGACATCAAATTCATCTCGAAGATATGTCCCGATCATGGATTAACTGACTGACAATTAAAGTTTCGAATGGTACTCACAAATGTTGTCGAGTGATAATGCCGCACATTATCAGATTTGGTTATCAGCAAACTTTTCTTCGCTACGGATTTTATCACTTATTGGGAATCCCAGATCATTGGCGGTCGGATGAGTTTAGTCACAAAAGATATCGAAACAAAATGAAACCTCGATGTGCCATTGAGTCAGAAACCTTGCTGGATAGCGGTCGTAGTTCAACAGCGAGAAATAAACCAAACTGTAATCTCGTTATAGAGGGTTGCCTTTGATCGGTTCATATCACTGCATTTACCTGTCTTATCGAACGAAAAATACAAAGAGCAATGTTTGAATACCAAGGTATGACTGTTGACATGAAGGGGATAACGAACCTATTCGCTCTAGACTTCTAGGCTCTTTGTCAACCCTTGCTCGTTTCTTATCAGTCCTTGTCACCAATCACCTTCGGTCCCTCCGTATCCTACACCACCTATTAGTGTTCCACCGTTAATATGAAAGACGTTGTAAACCCAATGACTCTCGTCTTCTATGACTCGTTATCTCTAGCAGTTGTTATCAACCTTTATCACTGAACATCTATGATCCCTTCTTAATCCGTATACTTCACTAAAGTACCAATGCTCCACCGTTAGTATGAAGGAGGTAGCGGATCTTGCGGCTCCCACCTTATAGGGTGATTTATCAGCTCCTTCCAATTGTTATCACCTCTAGTCCATACTACCGAGTTTGAAAGCTCTACGTCCATGGGGACAGGAGTTGTGAATTTCCGGTCAGACACACATACTGGTGCAGTGACTTTATCGCACTTGAGCAGTCCTAAGCATTCGGAAAATAGCCATATATGGAGTACAAAATTTGGATCATTCTTTGCCATGAAGTCGCAATCAGAAGTCATCAAAATTTGCGACTCATTAGAGGTTCACGTTCCCTTTTATTCTGTTATCAGTTGCTACCAACCAAATGATACGAATACATACTAATAACCTGAAAATCTCAACATTGGCCTACATTCACAAAGAAGAAAAGGAAGTGGTAAGCAGTTAGGAAATGGTATGATCATCAGCCGATAACATCAGAAAGCACCGTCTGAGGCTCAGGTCGCTCAGTTATATCGATCAATAAAAAAAGTTTGCAAAGAAGGCTCTCATTTTCCTCAGCCCACTCTACCGTGCCGTCATTTCGCATGAAACAGACTGAACCGTGTCAAGGCTACAAAAATTGAGATCTTATTGGTTTCGTCCCCAAGTCAAATGAGTCTCTCCATGATTTTGGCAATTGAAAACATGACTCCTTTGTAAGCCCAAGGACGTTAGGTTGATCACCTCATCTGACATGAGCTTCTACAGCGACATATGACAGTATCTTTTAATATTCAACCAGATGGTATAAGCAACACTCCATCTCGACTTGTTGAGTTCTCAAGAGTTTCTAGAGTTTAATGTTTTCTAGTCACTGTTAACGGATTTCATGGTGACACAGCTTACCTGGTTCAAAACAGCAATAATACAATTTTCTACTTCTATTCTGCATTCCAATAAAACGGAAACCTGCACTGAATTACTTGACCAAATCTTTTCGTGATAATTTTATGTTGTCTGCATTCTTTCTCAAACTCAACAAACTCGGATTCAGTATAATCATTGATCGTGATACGATTATCGATGCAAAGGCTGGTAGTCTTTGGGAAAGAAACGATCCATTTTATGTGGAAGAAAAGCGAAGCTATGATTACCAAAGTACTTATGCTGACGGTTCCCTGGTTTGGAAAAATGCGCTTGTGGTTGGTTCTCTAGGATTGTATTGAAACCATGTCTTCTAACTAAACCAATGAGTTGCGAATCCTCGTAATCATTTACGGAAAAATCAGTTTCAGCCGCTGACAGAAGAAGAGACCCAGAAGAGTGACGGTGCCGAGGAGTAGGTTTTGTGTGATTACCATGATGCTTTCTAGTTCAGTTACGGTTATGCAGGATCTGTACAACACATCTCAAATTTTCTAATCTTGCAGACTCTCACTTGACGAACAACAGCTATCTGAGCAGCGGAGAACCGAATTTCGGACGCACGGTGAATCTCAGGAACTGATTGGAGCGGAGACACAGCATAAACGGCAGCAACCGGCGGGGGAGCTTTCACAGTATAAACCCCAGCAACGTGCTCAGGGAAGGTTTAAATGGGATTCCCAGAAGCAAGCTACGCGTTCGTTGGAAAGCGATCTTCAGAGGGAGGAGGAGCGAGAACCTCTGGAAATGACAGAAGGTGAGTCCTCGAAATCTTCAGAAGCCCTGAAAGCAGCGAATAGACTCAAAAGCTTTTTGGGACGAGAGATGACGAGCGCCGCAAGGAGAACCGCAGGGTAAATTGACCATAAACACGACGCTAAGTTGATCAAAGACACGACACTTGTCTTTGCTGCTCGTCCTTTACTTCATACTGGCGCCCTAACCTGATGATAGACATCTACCCCACATGTGCTTGCATCTGTGCTCGTTGCTTAAAGGCTTCGGAAAGATGGCAAACGGTTCAGATGTATTACCAATGGGGAGCGATCTAATTTGCCTTCTTTTATTCTATCAAGGAAAGCGATATGGTGCAAGGAAGAAAGTTTGGAGTTGATTCTTCGATGCGCGCAGTACAGAGCTTTTAGATTCTGACTTCGGCCTCTGCGTAAAATCAGCTCTGAAGGCTTACAAGAAGTCCACAAGAAAAGGATAAGCGGAAGTAAGGGGTGCGCCATAAATATGGTAATAGTTTTCCGGAAAAGCGCTATTCCCTCATATAGGTTTCTCCAAATCTGCACCTTCTACTATATTTATATTACACTTGAGCTCACATATCTGCTTTGGTGCTCTCAAGTCACTACTTTAAAAAATTGTCAAGCCTTCCCTTGTCCAGCAGCCGTCCCGTCTTTGCGCGCATTTGGTGAATCTTCTTCCGAGATACCTCGTCGTTTCGAAAACTTTTGCACAACTGTCTGCTATCTCGCGATGCGTGTACAAGTCAAAGGCGCAAGCCTTGTATCGGTTGTCCTGTCTCAGATACGACCGCTTTACTGTATACAGTACTTAGGAAATAATTGTGCCAGAAACCTGCAAAACTGTGACAAAAATTGCTGCCGGAGTTATTGGATTTGATACTTGGACTGAAAAATTCTTCTAGAGGAAATACAACTGTATCCAGACAAGTTCGAAAAGTATTTTAAGCTTTCTCATGATAAGAAGTTCCAAAAGAAGAACCAATGTAGTGCCCTATTTCCATACGGTATTCACTTCGACACTTTTCCCTGACGAAGAGATGTTTGGTGTGTGAGAAATGCTCAGATCTCAGACTAAACGTATGCTTCCCACTATGAGTGTCGAAGCCAATAATAAGGGTCAGATCGGATCATGCTTGACTTCCTCTAATCTCGGCATAGCTAGACTTGTCATTTGTGCTGTTTAAAGCCTTTCTTTATTCACAACTTGATCCAGCTCACGTTTCGGCCTCTTCCCTTTCTTCAGAGAGTGAAAGCCGAAAAACGAGTTGAGATTATCCGAGTTGAGATGGCCGCTAATATTGCGAACTCGCTGCCGTCATGACACTCAATTCGATGCATTCCTAAAGGTGTTTGCATGCGAGATTTTCTTAGACCCTCCAGATGTCCCTTGGTACGCGTACGAAGTTGCGCCCTCTTTCGCCTACATACTCAGCATCGCAGGCCTGGTATGGAATTTAGTAAACGACCAACCTCAATTCAGTCACTCCTTCGATTATAAGGACACACAGTGCAATGTGGGGTGTCACACAGACCATCATAAAGACGATTTTGGATCAACTTCAGGCTAGGATTTCCTTTAGGTATTTCCACAATCATGACTTCTCGTAGCTCATACCTGGTCATACAAGCTCGAATTGCTCTCCTCATCTCTTCGAAGAAAAATGGCGAACAAAGGACTGTCTTATTGGCAGATGCTTGTGGGCAAAGTGTGCGAGGTGTGAAATGTCAGCCATGTTGTGATTCCTGATAAAAGCCAGGATACCCATTGACCGCGCGACTTTTCGAACCATGTCCAATGACTCTGTCATAAGAACACTATCAGAAGAAATCTTGCTGTCAACTCTGAACTGTTTTTAATGACAAAAGTGGATAAGGATATTCTTGCAGCCAGGCCTGTGGTACCACTTGGTCCCTACTGTCCCCTCGAAAGTCGGACTTGGATATTGAGAAATGATAACCACTTCTCTGTTGGTCTTTCTTAAAAGGATTTGATCTGTCTGCCTGTTTATTGATAATGTCAACACATGTCCACTTCTTCTTTGGTGGTGGAGCATATAATCAGGCAGTCGTCAATATAGCGATGTAGAGAACTGGCCTGCGGTTCAGAATAGGTTCCTTGACTTTTGACAAGCAGGCTATCTCCAATACTGGTGCTAGCTGTTGGCCTGTTGCCAAACCCTTAATCTGTCTATGGTAATCGCCCAACCACTTAAGAAAACGAGCGATTTGAGCATTCTTTTAAGACTGTCATTATCAGGGAGACTGAGGAACCGTACAGTCTGGGAGTGTATTCGTGATCCTTAGCAGTACATATGTAGCTTCAATGGCGGCCTCATTCGACACATTCATGTGCAAAGAAATAACATCGCATAATTCCATTACAGCGTCTCGAAGATCGCTTTTAAGTTTTTCGAGTAGCTAGTGGGTGTAGTCTATATAGAAAAGAAGCTTGCCCTTCGAAACGCATGACGGTTGCTGCTCCTCACAAATCGGTTAATGGAGCCCCTACTAATATTTCTTGTGTGCCACTGTCGGTGAGCACTCAAAGCGTCTTTGAACCATAATTAGTACAGGAGACGATTATATGGAAAGAACGTAAGTTCGTCTTGTCGATCCGATACATAGTAGATAGTTAATATGGGCTGACCATGTATCAGTATGAATAGCGATTTCTATAGCACAATTATTTTGGTGCCATACCTATGGCGCATCCCGTTTAATCCAGAATGTCTTTTTACTATTCGCTTGAGAAGCTAAGCAGATTCTATTCTTTTGAGTGTATATTCCTATCCTACTTATATAATCGGCTAAGTGTCTGTTGGTGTGTTTGTGTGTGTGTTTGTCTGACCGGAAATTCATAACTCCTGTCCCACTGCACCTAGAACATTCAAATTTGCAAGGAATACAGATAACAGGATGGGGAACACTGATGGTAGGGGGTAGGAGGTAACAACAATTGATAGGAACTGATAAGGAGTCTCAAAAGACAAGAATTACAGAACCCATATTCCCCTTTGTATTAGGTGTGTGCATTAACTTCCGCCGTTTTTCGCGCGCAAAAACATACTTATTACAAAATTAAAACTGAATGTACATTAACCAATGTATTTCCTATCGTTAGCTACAACTTCTTGCCATCTTTCTGGTAACTTGTTGACTCCGGGACTATGGAAGTCTTCATCTTTTGAGGCAATCCTGTTATCCACCCATTTCCGCACTTCTTCGGCATTCCGGAAGCGTGTATCTGCCAAACTGACTTGCATGGACCGGAATGACTGCTTTCATAGTCCGCCGGCCGGCCGGCCGGCCGGCGTGCCGGCGGAGGCAGTGCTAGCGGGGAGGAGGGAGGCAGACAGATAGGCAAACAGTCCACGCCCCTTCGAGGGGTTGAAAACAAACAACCTTCGAAGGGGCGTGGACTGTTTGCCTTACACTGTCTGCCTCCCTCCTTCCCCTAGCACTGCCTCC